GCAATGATCTCAAGATTTGCACTGTGTGCCTGCCAGGCGTGAAAACTGAAAGAGCCAAAATCTGGCTGCCATGTGGTTGGGTTAATTAGTTTACTCAAATACCTAATGAGGCTGTATGCTGCGTATCTAAAACACAAGGGAGACAGATTTTGCTAGGTGTCCACTTGGCCAATCAAAGTGGTTCCGGTTGAGTGGTGAACTAAGTAAGGTATATGTGAGAAATGTAAGATTAATTAGTAATATGATATAGTGCTGAATGGGAATGAAAGAGGCATGACGTTCCGCAAACGACGCACTTGTTGCAATAGATTCGAACATTAACGTCAATGACTTACTTTTGCATCAATAATATGGGTTTAATAAGATAAAGCAAAAGCATATATACTTTAAACTGCTGCGGTGTGTGTTGATTATCACTAATTGGCTGATTAGCTCTTTTATTAAAGGAAGGTGGGGACAGGTCATATGCCACTATGGTTCCATGCGTCGCCTTGAATTCGATATCTCTCCAGCTCATGTCCCCCGAATTACAAGGGCGCCTTGAATATTCCTTTAAGATGGTGGGCTCATTACTTAATGATGTTTTTCTGTCACATTCTTCGGTTTTGACAATTCACAGCAAGAACCTTCCCTTTCTTATTCTTCAATTTCGAATAAGATCACTGACGAAAATGCTGCAAACCACTTAGTACTTAATATACTATATATACCGTCACACACACACACACACAGCAGGTGCTTTTCATTAGCATATATGTGGCTAAGACTTTCGAAGCGCTAGGGCTCATGATGACCAGATTTTTATCTATGTCTGTTTTACATTAAGGACCTCTTTTAAGTAGTATGATCTTCGAAGAAGACATATATAAATATACTGAAAAACATCAGTGACAGCATATGAAAGAGGAAGCGGAAATGAGAGTAAGCTAATTACAATTTAATAATGCCCAGCATTTTTATTCAGTTTTGGCGCCTGAAAACTATTATAATAACTTGATGCAAATTAGATTCTTTTCTCTAGATATTTCCTTTACCACCCGTTTTCTAAAACAATGAGTTTCTCTACTTATCGATCGCTTTATCAATCTATGTTATTAATTTGTTGTATATGGTCTTTGCAAATCGATGAGATTGATCACTCAGGCACTAATTCGTGGCCTGGGCCCTATATAAGTATTAATGTGCCAAGTGGGTTAATTGATAGCAGCAACTTCTTGATATAGTAATGATTGGACAGATAATACTGATTTACGGGATCGATTTATCAAATGAATCCGGTCAAAACAAAGGAGCGCGTTGAGGTTTTCCATTGATTGAAGAGACCGTAGTCGAAACGAGGCAAGCTAAGAGAATAAATTTGACAGTGATAAAAGAGAAAAAGAACTACCAGAGATGCCTTGGGTAACATCAATAAGGATAAGTTTGTGGTTTATTGCATATGGGCATAGAGCATAGATAAAGATAAAATAATTAAGTTTCCACACTTTTCTTTTGGTTTCTGCTTTCTCTTTTTCTCTTCCGCAAAATGTCTAAAATAATATGAAATGACCAATAGGATGAACCCCATATATATTCCTTCCAAACGTGATGATAGCAAACTGTCCCTGGGGCTAGCTCTATATAAACCCCACCATCCTCATGTCCTCTTCGCACAGCAACATTCTATGCAAGTGTTCCATAGAAATGCAACATACATATTTTGGGTTTAAGGGAATGAACGAGGGACTTATCTCCCCCAATTAATCCCTGAACTCTTTTCAGAAATGATTTTATTGGAGGTTTGCTGCAGGTGGATCGATGAGCTAACTGCAAATGAAATTTCGAAAGGAGACTTTGAAGGGTAAGGGAGGTGACAGAAGAGAGTGAGCACACATGGTCCTTTCTTGCATGGTTTATGCTTGAAACTATGCGTGCTCACTCTCTATCTGTCACACCGCCACCTCTCTCTCTCTCTCTCTCTCTCTCTCTCTAATATTGGTAGAACTTCCCTATCCCTATCCCTATGCCTAACCCTAACGTTGCTGGTCATGATATATGTTGCATATATGTGAAATTAATCTGCATATACTCCATGTAGGATGGTTTGATAGCCAATTACACCATACAGCTTATCATAATTATGTGTTTTATGGCTGTTGATCTTAATAATTAGGTTCTTCTTATTGCCTCTTGCTGTATATAGAAGCATGTTTAATTTCTAACCCAGGCAGATTTACTTGATGCAGGACCTAATAAGTGCCTCCCTATTGATCCAAGAGGTTGATCTCTTGTTGTGATTGATGAATTTTGATCTTATATACATGTTTTCGCTGATCACTCATAGTTATTCATCTTTAACTTTTGAATATGTGCAGTCATATCAGATACACATGAATCTATATTTTCCTTATTGTTGTTAGCTATTTTGAGTTTCACGCCTTAAGAAGTTGATAAGAAGGGTAGGCTGTTTGATTAGTTTTTTCTCACTGCTTCGCCGTTAAGTTCCATAGTTAAGATTGGATTACTATGTGCAGTCATATCAGACACACACATATGAATCTTTATTTTCCTTGTTGGTGTTAACTATTTGAGTTTCACGCCTTAAGAAAAAAATTGATCAGAAGAGTAGGCTTTTTAATTAGTTTTTCTCACTGCTTCGCCGTTAAGTTCCATAGTCAAGACTGGATTGCTGTATCGGATAAAACTAATTTGCTTGCCAGAATATAATCGATATCGCTTTCACCTGCAGCTGGGGACAGCAAATGACAAATATATGAAGGGTCTTTTTTTGCTCAAGCAAGGCCATGGCGGATATATAAATTAAATTTATATTCTTCTTGCTTTCTGCTTGGATCTGCCTCCATCCCTACCTGGGGCCTGTGCATGACTGAGACAGAAAGCTTCATTAACTGTGGATCACAGAAGGCCTGTTCTTGATCTGATCATCTTTCCCCCGTGTTGTCCAATGTCCATCACGTTGGCTTGTTCCTCTTTAAAATGAGTGAAAGTTAAAGCGTCTTAAAGGCTTAAGCTTTTACAATGAGTCAGTCTTGACAGAGACATGTGGATTTTATAACTTCTTTTACTTTCATTGATACCATTCATTCTCGATAATTCATACCAAATACAGCTCCACGCCCCATGGGAAAAAAATTATTACTTTTAAATTGATGTTGTCAATTTCAAAATCAATCGAGCAAAAGCTCCATTAATATGTTTATAATACACATTTCCCACGATTCCCAAGCTCCCAACATATAAAACAAAACCATTATTATCACATAGGATATAGGAACATGCAAGTCTTAGGCCAATTATCTTTAAAATGACGGGTAATTTTGCATGTCATGAGACCATTTCTGCAGTATTTTCGATTTATATATTTAGTTCATATTTAAAGAGGAAAATATGCTCTACCTTTCAACATTCTTCAAAATACACAAAAGAATTCATCTCATCAAACCCATCCTTTGATAAATATACCTTCTAAAATACGAGAAATTTTTAAGGCTTACATTTTTACTGCTGTTTAACAATTAGAGTGGATCCCATGTATTTGCTCATAGTTCAAGACAAAGTTATACCACTTACTTGATATGGTTCTTATATTTTACATTGATGTAAGCTGAACTAATTATAAAGAACTTTTTTGCATTTTTACATTAACATATGACGTTGATTAGATTCATACATATATTTGTGTGAGAGAGGAGGTGTCAATTGATTGGTCAAATATATTTGTACAATACCTATGTCAAGTTTTTTTATATCTATTATGTATAAGTTCTCTAATCACACATGGATACATGTCATATTTTTTAAATATTATCACTTAATTAGAAACTTATATGAAACTAAAAAAGACATGTGGCCCTATATGATTGGAAAGTTTGGCATAATTTATATAAAGAACTGGACACAAGTTTTTTCCCCCCCTAAAACTAAATTTATAACATCCAATAATATTGGGCGTAAATATATGGGATGAAAATTTTAGAAATTAAAACTCGATCATTCAGATCATAGGACTAGTTATAAATATCATTTTCTTAAATGTGGGTGTTTATTTATACGGTAACACCTTATTTAAATTTCATCGAATAAATATTTGAAATATGATTTTTTTTAACTTTTTAATAGTGCACATCAGTAGTTATTTAATTTTTATAAAACTTGACATGAAATATTGAGTTATTTCTAATCTAATCGTTAGAATCATATCATCACGATGAAATATTAGAGGGAAGTCAACTTCCCCCCTTTTATTTACATCAGTAGGCTTTGAATCTTAAATTTTTACTAATGTTACACTTTATCTTTCCCATATGAATTAGCCATAGATATCATCTCTACATTTGTATAGATACATTATTTTTATGGATATTTTTATTTTACCTCAGGAAAAGAAAAACAAATGTACCTGAATCATATGATACAACACGCATATCGTATTTCATGATACACGTAGCGCATTTTGACACAGGCATCGTTGTTTTTGTTTTTGTTTTTGGTTTTTTTTGTTGGTTTGAAATGCTCCAGGACAACTTAAGAACGTACTACTATTAAAAACTCAATTCTTTAATTGCGCGTGAATATTTTTATACCACTTTTTAAAAAATAATTTCAAATCCAACAATTGTCATATTATTTTTATGATTTAATTTGGTGCATATATACTACCTTGGATCCTAATCATAAGACCTCTTCTATAATCTATAAAAGAGGTCTTTTAATTAGGATAGGAGATAACACATTTAAATATGTACATGCTTTTCATATCCATACATTAAATTTTTAAAATTGCCATGTCTAATGTATTGGATCGTGTCGTGCAAGCGCCTCTTATTTGTGCAACATAACACAACGTTGTTAATTATTCTTGTTGGTTTATTTGAAAAGCTATTTTCTGAAGGTTCATATATTTTAGTAACCAAGTACCTATGAAGTAAGTGAATATTCATTGTTGAATGATTATGATCTTTATTTATTTAAAGAATATAATGAGGCTATACTTATAAAATATTTAATCAATCATAATACACTTATCTAAAAGAATTCTTCAGATAACAATGCGTGTTAAAATCCCTTGGGTGAAAATAAATCACACTAAAAGAGCTAAAACTATTATCAACTTAAGTTAGAGTGAGTCATGTGGATGGTATCACTTGAGCAAATGGTTGGGTTTTTGAATTTCATTCCCCGTTCTCTTGCATGTGGCAACCTGATTATAACAGTACTACCTCCGGTTCTTAATATAAGACTTGTTTGACTTTTATTTTGATTCTAAATATAAGACCTCAATACTTTGTCTCTTATATTTATATATATTTTTTCCAAGTAACCCTTCTAACAATAATAGTTCTAGTCAATACACTTGATTAGTAAGGATATTTTAGAAAAGACAACACCTATTTAGGACAAATAACTAACTCAACTTACTTCATTAATCTCCTCAAATTAATCAACTGGCTCTTATAATTAGGACCGGAGGTAATATATTGGGAGATATTAGAATCTTGATGTCTATAACCATTTAAATCCAAAAGTAATGTTCAATTATAAACTAGTAGTATTTATATTAGATTGATTATTATACTTAATTCCTATATTTAAGTCCCGAATTTCTTTTTTTACCCCACTTGTTTATCCCCCAAGGAAACGGAGCAGAAGGGGGAAAATCCGAAAGGACGCATTGAACATATCCAAATGGGATCGCTGAACGGACATTACACAGATAGGGGTATAAGCCTTAACCATCAAAGTAAAGCCACTTTTGCCAGTTTAAAAACTGGTCTTTGTGGTCCTAGCCTAGAAGTATTGGCCTAGAGGTTCCTGTTTTAGCTGACTTCTGGTAATCAAAATGAAGTATAGCCATTTCCTGTGCAAATATACAAGACCAGAGTAAGAAGCATAATTCATTTTTGGATTATTTTGTGTTACAACCCATTAAGAAACTGCTTGGACTGAACATGCGTGTGTTTTGTTTCTCAATAATGAAAATCAAATACAGGGCCTAATTTAGGTCAAAAGAAACCACAAGTGATTCTGTTGGCTAAAGTGGTCCTTGCTTCATATGTTTGTTTCAGAGAGGCTTGAGTTGTAAGAACTAAGAACAGAGGGGTATTTTTAGTTTAAAAGACATGAAATCAGCAACACACGCTCGCTCTGCCCTTCCCTTTGTGATCAAAGGAGGAAAATGGCTCTTTAATTGAAAATAATAATCTACAGCCATAGTTTGTACTAAACAAAAATGTGCATCTGCATTTTCAGACAGACCACGCAGGGTGCAATCACATATGCTAATACGACAATCATGTGTATGTCCACCCAGTTGGTGCGAAAAATAAAAAATAAAAAATAACGACAACGTAAGATGAAGAACAATTCCAGTCTGCAGGCCAGCTTCTGCCGTTCAGATCCATTTGTCAACCAGAACATAAATTTATAACTCAAAACATTATCTGTGGTAGCTACGTAACAGTCTTAAAAAAATGAGCCCAAACAAAGTACTACCCGCCTTTTGCTCCACGAACTTACATTTTACTTCTGGCATCTTAGGGAAGGAGCGAGTGAAAAAAACCATCTTGAATTGAAGAAAGGATACCAATTTTCATTTCAATCTTTGTGGAAGAGCAGGATATTCAATGCCGTACTTGGAAGATCATCCTTTAAACCATTATCTAGGAACCAGTCGTTGATAATGCTTTGGGAAGTTGAATCTCTAGCAGGCCACCTGTCCACTAATCTGAAACCATATTGCCCTGCAGCTGAGAGTAGCGATGGTTCATCTACTCGTCGGAAAACATGGCAAAGAATTAGTGCAGGCTCCTTGTTATCTTTACTGCTTCCACTGGAAGCAATCAACTCACTTGCGGTTGCAAACAAAGGCAATATAGCTTCAGGAATGTATGTCACGTCCGTCCCCACAATGACATCAAAGCCTGTATTACTCACTTCCTTCACTTCCTCAATATGATCCCGGTTTCCCCACTCGAGTCTCTTGGTGACTAGTTTAGTAAGCAGTGGTGGCGGAAGATTAGACACAACATTTTTGGCAAGGAGTTCAAGAGCAAAAGCATCTCCATCAGTGGCGACTATGAGGTCAGCATATTTAGCAGAAACCATTGAGCAGATACCTCCACAACCACACCCAAGCTCCAAAACCCGCTTCCCTTCAACAATATTGGGATTTTCTGCCAGGACGGAAGCCATCAATCGAGCGGATTCCCACAGCATCAACCCTGTTGATTTGCAGGTGTGTTGGTACTCCTTTGAAAGCACATTGATCTGAAAATTCGACCCTCTGACGTTGACCTCAATAATCTAACATGAAAAATTTGAAGTGCTAAGAACCATGTGCGCATATCAGGGGAACAGCAATGGCAGTTAGGCTTATGTTAATTATATAGAACCAACAGGTAATCTGTATTCAGGGGAGAACAGAGGAAAAAAAATTGCCATATCAACTGAAAACACAGGAAAAATTTCTACTAGATACACTTCTAAGTTCCCACAGGTATTTATTTATTTTTCCCGAGTGTGGACTCTTGATAATTTTTCTGATAGGACTTGGGAGAAATGGCATACACATAGCAAAGGTAAGAATCTTCAAGCTTACACCCATACCTCATTCTTGCTTGAAGGTGAGACTCCAAACATATCAACTGCCAAACCCTCAGACAAGTCAATGGCAGAGTCATTCACGTGCCCCCTTACATTATCTTCCTTGACTTCCTCAGAATCAAGACAATTGGCCTTTGGTTCAGCTTCCTTACTAGCTTTCTTACTATAGGAAGAGTTAGGACCATCTGAGATCCGGAACACAGCTTGCACCCAACGCCTAAACCCAAAAAACAACAAAAAAAAAAAGGCACATGCAGAAGAAAAGAGTAACTGCAGTCACTATTTAAGCAGATAAACAGGAAAGAAACCAATTAAATTCCAACCCTGCACTGAAAAGCAGAAGTTCAGGCAAGCAAAATTCCTTCCTTAATTTGTTAAATTACTAAAAAAAAAAATTTGCAGAATAAATAAAGGAATGAGACATGTTAGTTACCTATTCATCACCAACTCCCTTGAGCGGTTCTCCACTTGTTTGCAGCATACACCAAGTTCGTCAACATTAAAACCATTTTCTTTGAATAAATTTGTCAAAAATTCATTTGAAAAATAGTATGCTCGCTGAAACGAGAGGAGCATTACTTTAAAATAAACAAAAAGAAGAGCTTCATATGTGAACTAAACTACAAAACAACATGGCAAAAGTTGATTACTTACAGTGCCGTCACCTCTAACGTAGAAATTATCACTAATCTTTTGATCCTTGCCAGAGAATCTTTCCTACAGAACGGAACAAATGGAGATATCAAACATCAGTTGTCATTAAGAAAATGGATCAATCAAAATTAGTCAAACAATCACCCGACCAAGGAAAAGATATTATAAAACTGGTATTATGCTGATGACAGACCATTTAAAGCATTTAGTGCAAGTACTCATAGCAATCAAAAGAAGACAAATCACCTGAATTTAATGTCAACATATTTTGATTTCGGTGCAAATCAAAGAACCATAAATGTCGAGTGGGACTGACTGATTGTCTAACCTTAGCCTAATCACAGATAAGAATACTCGAAGGAAATTTCAAATAGTTCATGAGAAAGCAAATCTAAATTCTTCTAGCTATCACATCGAATTATCCATCATAAGAAAAACATCTGGACAACAATTTTGAGGGCTTATAAATTTTTTAGCAGAACTCTTAAATAGGAACTGCAGAAATTCAACCTGAGCGAGGTCTCCAGTAGCATAGTCTCGAAACAGCACATAACCATTTGGCTGAACACCAGGAAAATGGGAATGAATTTATAGCCCAAAACAAAAATATGAATGAAAACACAACCTATTGAGAGTAATAAGTTTCTTACCTTGATAACCTTCCTAATGTTCTGCAACACTTGATGCATCTTTTCTGGTGACACTGCAGATAACATAAATATCTGCTCAACACGTCAGCAACTAAAACAACAGGGTCATAGTTAATTAAAAGCACAACAGTATATAGCCAACCAATAAAAAAAATTGTGATCCAAAATCAATCTACTGTAGCTTCAAATACCATGGTAACAATATCAACTGAAGATGGAGAGATCTGCTTGCACAGGTCATCAGCTGTCAAATCAGAGACAAAAGCACTAACACGCGACCCCTCAAACTCTTTGTGTGTCTGCAATTAGCAAAATGGGTTCGTTCTTGTTACATCTAAATGATTAGTAATGCAAATTCAATCCTGTTTAACCTGCAAAAGTGCATTTTTTTATTATGATATGAACTATTAATGCTAGTCTCAATGAAGTAAACTACCAAAATGACCTTGCACTAAAAAAATACCGTATGCTACATATCCTATAAAACTCGACAACTACAACAGAAGACCACCGATATGTTGTGTGCACTTGTATCAAATGCATCTGTGGTTACTCGACATGGTTGCACTAATAAATTGAATCAAAATGCCTACAGCCAACGAACTGGCTATACATGCATATATAAGTGTGGTTGAAGATGAGAGACATTATATAAGAGAAAATTTTCCAACCTTAACCAGCTCAATAGCTCGTGGTGAGAAATCACATGCATAAACAAAAGCATCTGGGTATGACGCAATCACAGGGAATATAGTATTTCCCGCTCCACAACCGACCTGCTCAGGAAACAGCATTACTTATTAAACATCTCCATAGACCAAACACCTCCTAGAGAGAAGCATAAACAGCAAATAATTGATCAACTCGCCGACCACTGATCTCAAAAATAATGAATAGCTAAGGAGGGAAACCAATATGGAATGGTTCTCACTCCATGATCATAGTGTGAGTTGCAGACGAGACTGGTTTCCTTTTCACATAAGTCCAATTGTTATGCTGTGGCTTGCAGATACACTCAAACTAGTTCAGTGGCGGACCGAAAAACTACGTGGGGGGGAGAAAGAGAATAATATTAGAGTTTGGACTTACTGTGGTCAAAAACTAAAATTTTAAGTCTTACATGCAAATTTAGCAGACGTTTGACGAAAAGGGGGGGAGTGGTAAGCATGTAAGTTCGCTAGCGAACGAATTGAGTCATCATATGATAGCTTAAAAACCAACCGAAACTGTTTAAAAAGGGGCAAGATATATTTGCATTAAGAAATGGGAAGATTTGAAGACAACAGCACGGATGTGTACGTATATACCTCCAAAATCACTTTCCTTCCGGCTCCCTGGAGTTGAAAGTAATTTAGGCAATTAGAATGTTGGGCAACACTTCAGAAAATCAAATCAAATTACAAATGAAGACATTATTTCCTTCCACTCACAGAAAAGTAGCTGCCCCACTCCTTATCCAAGTAGTGCCGATCTTTGAAAAACTGAAGGAAAAATGCCAGAAAAGAAAAAAATAGAATTAGTAATAGTCAAACCAATTGGGGCGAAGGAGATGAGTATGTGGCAGTAGAAAGACTTTGGGGAAGTGATGCAGATGAAGCTAGTAGAAAATAGACAAAGAAGCAAGATCACTTGGGTTAACAGAGAATACAACAATAAGAATTAGCAGCGTTGCGCGGGATGGGACAAAAACAGAAGAGTTGGAAAAACAAACCCTGTCCTGGTGCCGCTTGTAGAACACATCCCAATACTTTTTGGCTTCTCTTTCATACTTCTCTGTAAATAAAAAACAATTTTGAATGCTTGGGAATTGCAAGCAGAATATGAGACAGAGAGAAAGAGAAAAGAAAGACCTCTCCAGAAGGGGGACACTCCAGTATTTGTAGTTGAATAAATTTGTAACCTTTGCACTGGTATTTGTTGCTGCTTAGAATCTTGTAGACCTGACGCCATCACCCTGCCTGTTTCGCGGGGTTTTACACGAAGGAGTCTTATAACTTGTAAGTCAGTTCAGATTTTAGATCAAGCATTCATCCAAATTACAAGGGATATCCGCACAAGACTCTTCCGGCCAGTGCCCCAGCACGACCAGAGAAAAGATTCAGGCTTTTACATAGCTCACCCCAAACCCTCCGCCTAATTCCCCCTTTTTCCTTCGTTTTCCTGGGGCGCGGGATCCCAATCGGCGCGTTCCATGTCACTAATTTTTTCAGTTTGACAACAAGGTCTGAAAAAATAATTATTAAAAAGCTTTAATAGTAATTTAAGCTAAAATAAAAAATAAAAAATTATTAGCTAGGTGTACATCTTCTTGTAAAAATAATTCATAAGTATCCGAATTAAACATAAAAAGGTTAAAATTTTTTTTACAAATTTAATTTGTAAATGACAGAACTTAACTTTTAAAATAAAAATTTTAACTTATAATGTTAAATTCAATTTATACATATACAAATTTAATCATAAATATTTAAAAATAATAAATCTATTCTTTCTGATGTCATTTTTTTACCTTATAATTCTATTTTTTTGGAAAAAAAAAAAAAAAAAAAAAAAAGAAATTTTTTTTCCAGTGGTATAAAAAAGGACAAAAAATTCTAATTCTTTGATTATATGATTAAAAAAGTAAATAAGTTATTGGCAAAACATTAAATAAGTTGTTTTTGTGAAAATATATAAATGAGTAGGAAATAAGAAAAAAGGAAAATGGTAACAAGATTCTATTTAAGAGAATTAAATATGAAAAATACAAAAATATCTCTTAAAATTATTAAATTAATCTGAAATATCAAGAGATTTCATTATAAGAGATTTTATTTGTTTAATTATCAAATTATTTATATTTTTTTTAGTATGCATTAACAACTGAAAAAATAGTTTTTAATAACTTAAGATATAATGATTAATAATTATTGCAGCAAATATTGACAACTTATGCATTATATTTTTGTAATGTGCTGAGAAAATGTATTGTTAATACTTGCTGATAGTTGTTAAATACAAAAATATCTCTTGAAATTATTAAATTAATATGAAATATCAAGAGACTTCATTGTAAGAGATTTTATTTGTTTAATTATCAAATTGTTTATATCTTTTTTTCAGTATGCATTAACAACTGAAAAAGCAGTTTTTAATAACTTAAAATATAATAATTAATAATTATTGCAGCAGATATTGACAACTTATACATTATATTTTTGTGATATGCTGAGAAAATATATTGTTAATATCCACCATGATAGGTGTTAACAATTGTTCTTTTAGTTATTAATGCATACTTAAAAAATAAAAACAAGTTAATAATTAAAAAAATGAAATTTTGTACAATGAAGTACCTCAAAACTTGAGATTAATTTAAGAGATTTTTTTATATTTATGGACCTTATTACAAGTTTTCTTAGGATGTGTTTGGTTGGAGGGGAGGGGAGGGGAGGGAAAATGAGCCCCTCCCCTCATTTGGTTAAAAATTTTGGAGGGGAGGGGAGCTAAAATGTCCCCTCCCCTCCCCTCCCTCCCCCCATTTTGGCTCCCCTTCAAATTGGGGGTTTTTGGAGGGGAGCCAAAATTTTGGACCATTATGCCCTTATGGCTTTTTAATATTCCACTTTTACCCATAAAATATATTATATATTTATTTCAAATAAAAATATATTATCCTAAGTAAAAAAATAAAAAATATATACATTATTATAATTAAAAATATATTATAAAAATTATTTAAAAATAAAAAATATTTAAATAAAAAATTATAATATTATAAAATTAATTGTTTTTATAAATATTATTAATTTATATATTTTAAGCTAGAAAAAAAGATAGCCTAAAGAAAATAAAATTTCAATTTTCTTATAGCATATAAAATTTGTTAATTTGATTATTTTAAATATATTATTATATTAATTAGAATAAAAATTACTATACCAATTTTTTAATACACATATTAACATGATAAGACTGAATTTTTATTAAATTATATAATTTAAATTAAGATGTAAATTAATTTATATAATATATCAATAAAAAATATAAACTAATATCTAAGGGTAAAATGGTAAATTGATTATTATTATCCCTCCCCTCCCCCCCTTAACCAAACAAGGGATCATTAAATACCCTCTCCTTTTCTCTTTTTTAATCAAACCAAACAAGATCCCCTCCCTTCCCCTCCCCTCAAACCAAACAGGCCCTTTAAGAAAAATGGGATGGGAAGTTTCCATTTTATCACCTGGCACGGCAAAACCAGACTTGAGTCCCCCGAACTAGAAATTCTGAGTGGATCCAGATCCGATTCCGAGAAGTCGAAGCACTGCTACTCCAAAGCCTAATGAAGAAGACGAAGCTCGGCAGTTGTTAATTTCTCATCCACAGCTACATTTGTTGTGGTCTTGCGCAACAGATCTGTGTTTCCTTCACTTATTCACACTGCAACTGAACAGCCAATTCGCATATCAACCAGTTCGGAGCTCCGACAATGGAGTCTGAAGGTGCAGCGGAGGGGACGTCACCGGTCCCTAGCCTTCTTCCTCTCGCCTCTGACTCCCAGCAGCCCTATGTCTCTGAGCTCCTCTCGTTCACCCTGGATCGTCTTCATAAGGTCCCTCATCCTCTTCTCCTTCAATTTTATTGTTTGAATTATTTAGTCTCATCAACAAATTGTATTTTGCATACCGGCGACCTTGCTTTGGTATTCCCCGTCTCCGTCGGTAATAAACTTAATTTTAGGAACCAGAGCTGCTTCGGGTTGATGCGGAGCGGATTCGGAGGCAAATGCAAGAGGTGGCGGTGGGTAATTACCGAGCGTTCATATCTGCTGCCGACGCCTTGCTTGCTATTCGTGACGAAGTCTCTTCTATCGACAAGCATCTTGAAACTCTGGTATTTATTTCAAATTTCTATCGTTGTTAATCTGCTTTATGTATTATGTGTGCTCTATATGTATGGTGACCTTTTGCTTTTAAAATGCTACACCTTAATGTTTAACAAACATAAACAGTGATGAGGGGGAGTAGTAGGTTTACTCAATGGTTATTAGGGGAGCAAACGTCATAATAATCACGTATGGTTCCATGTTAGTTATCGAGCTTTTGTTGCATTTAACTGATAGTAATTTGGGCAGAGATTATTCTGTGATTTACTTTTACGTGCCATAATTCTGAGATAATTTGTTCACTATTCCTATCTTCATCATGGTTCTTCTGAAGCTATTTGTTCAAAAAGTTGTCTAATATTATTGTCCTTGGAGTTTTACATATGTACATAGGCATGCAAATCTATGAAGGTGCACTTAGAGGCAATGACGTCATGGTTAAGATCACAAAAGCATTTAATGGAAGTCATGCATGGGTGGCTGTTCAGGTTTCTGACTATTTAAATAGAAGAAAGTATATAGATACATATGTGCTAATGTTGCAAATGCCTGAATATTTGAGGTGTAACTTTCTTTAGTTGAGCATGCTTATGGATTATTTGATTCTAACGGATTACATATATACCTCAAAGTTTGAGACCAGTAAGATCATATTAATATATGCAAAAATATAGTACCTCATGTTAATCATCTTGGATTTTTTTTCTTTCAAAAAAATTGTGGGTCATCCTGGTATCTTTTCCTTTCTCACAGATTAATGAGGTTCCAAAACTGACATCTGGATGCACTGAGTTCATAGAATCTGCAGAGCAAATTTTGGAGAAGAGGAAGATGAATCAAACAATGCTAGCCAATCAAAGCACTTTGCTTGATTTGCTGGAAATTCCTCAATTGATGGACACGTAAGGGTTTTTCTTTCTCTTTTCTTCTTCTGTTTTTTTTTTTTAATTTAAAAATACATCTGTAGTATTTTGAATGCCCACATGGTCTTGCTTGACTTGCTATAGGATAAACACATTAATACCTTTTTGAAAAGTCATATAATTTTTGTGTGCCTGCAGATGTGTAAGGAATGGGAATTATGATGAAGCTTTAGATTTGGAAGCATTTGTTTGTAAACTCTCAACGATGCATCCAAAGTAAGTTTATGATTCATCTCTCGCAATTTTACCATGTAGCTTTGCTGTTTCCTTGGGGGGAAATCTGTAGAATTTTCTGCTTACTTTTTGCTCCCCCCTTGCGCAGGCTGCCTGTTATTCAAGCATTGGCTGCAGAAGTTAGGCAGATCACCCAATCTCTTCTTTCACAACTTCTTCAAAAACTTCGATCTAATATTCAGGTTCTTGTATTTTCTATCTTAAATTTATCAACAAGTCATGCTTAGTTGATCTCCTGAAAATGCTTAGAAATGTTAATGTCTGATTAGTGTATTTTCTTTAATACAGTTACCTGAATGTCTCCGCATTATTGGATATTTGCGCCGGATAGGAGTATTTAGTGAGTATGAAATGCGATTGCAGGTGATGTTTAACTAAATTTTTTGCACACTTTATTCAAGCTTTATTGCTTGTATTTTATCTGGAGGTTTTCAGATTTACTAGGTACATTCTTTTATTTTACCTGCTTGTTTATAACTAGGTAATTATTTGTTTTCAGTTCTTGAGATGCCGAGAGGCATGGCTTACAGCTATACTTGAGGATCTGGATCAGACAAATCCATATGAATACTTGAAAGGGATGATTAACTGTCACCGAATGCATCTATTTGATGTTGTCAATCAATATCGAGCAATATTTGCTGATGACACATCAGGAAGTGAGGAAAATTATGATGGTGGGCTTTTGTTTAGTTGGGCAATGCACCAAATTACATCGCACCTCCATACTCTGAAAGTTATGCTTCCTAAGATAACTGAAGGTGGATCACTATCAAATATTTTGGATCAATGCATGGTGAGCGTATTCCATCACACTCATCCTTTGTGCTAATAAAGTGGCTTTGAAAAGCGAGGAACCTCTTTATTTATTTTTCCCCTTAATCATTCAGAAAGTTTGCTTACCCATATTAGTATTTTGGAAAATGACATCCACATACACACACACACTCTTAATACTGTGACGCCAACTTATGTTCACCTTATTCAATTTCTTTTCAGTACTGTGCTATGGGACTTGGTTGGGTTGGACTGGATTTTCGGGGCTTACTTCCATCACTTTTTGAAGAGTAAAACATATTACCTTTTGTAACCTTTTCATGTTATATCATTTGTAATTCTTTATTGACATGTAGGTCGGTTGCATTGCAGGGCAGTTCTTAACTTATTCTCAAAAAATATGCATACAGCAGTTGAGAATTTTCAGGTAAATGAACTTGTGGAGTTACAATATTTCAATGTTGGTTTCCTGAATCTGTTTTGATGCATGAATCCGTGTGAGTTGCCCAATCTAGTCAGCCCCGGGGCTCTTATGTCTTTCTTCTCCTTTGCGACTAACAAGTAGCTTACATTCGTATGATAATTAACCATCTAACTTCATGCTCTTAGCTGGTCTTGGATTCACATCGATGGGTTCCCCTGCCAGCAGTTGGCTTTCCCGCAAATACTGTTGGTGAAGAAACTCAGGAGGACGTCACTCCACCCTCTTATTTGATGGAACACCCACCTCTTGCTGTTTTTATTAATGGTAAATGCTTCCTTCTTTGTTTCGTTTAAAAGGATGGGTTTCTGTAGTCTTAATCAAATCAAGATAACAATGCTGTGGTTCTGATTAATTAGTTGGGGAGGCCATGTTCTCTCTTTTTTGATAAATGGGGCACTAATGTGCTACTGATAACATTAGATTTATTTCAGAGGAATAGATAAAAAGACTAGATTCAAGATAGGAATCAAGAGAAAGTTTTCATTGCCAGCGTCTTTTGTAGCCTACGGGAACCCTCTTAGATGGAACATCTATAGATGGTGTTTGTCATGATGCCAGAAAGTTTTTATTATATGTTTCATAGTTTTCTCTAGTTTTCTCCTACTTGTCTATTCCGAACTGATTGTACTGGTATCTCTGGTGTCTGCAGGTGTATCAGCGGCAATGAATGAACTGCGCCCCTGTGCCCCTCTAAGTTTGAATCATGTCCTTGCCCAAGAGGTGATTAAGGGACTACAAGTTGTTTCAGACTCTTTGCTGAGATACAATGCCACTCGGGTACTCAGAGAAAATGAGTCAGGACTTTTCCTCTCACTCTGTCGGGCATTTGTAGAGGTATTAGTTTTTGTAATTTTTGTTGTTTATTGCAATTAGTCTCAATAAAGGACTCACTCTAGAATTCCTTGAAACTCATTTTGTAGGTTGCTTTTCCACATTGTGCTACTTGTTTTGGGCGTTGTTATCCTGGTGGAGCTGCTCTTATCATGGACGCAAAGAACGTTTATGACGGAATTAGCCGCCTATTAGCTACCTCTTCCGCAAGGGAACTCCCAAAACCAGTGAATAATGGGGAACTGAAGATCGCAACTGAGAATGGGAACCTGCGAGCGGTGGAAAATGGAGAAGCACCCGAAGCTGAACAAACTGAAGGTGAAGGCGCCAATGCTGATGAGGAGAACAAAAGCTCTGCTCTGCAGGCAGATATTACAGACACTAATATTGAAAAGACGACATGAATTGCCAAAATTTTAGTAGTTCTAGTTGTATTTTTTCCCCGGCAAAACTATTGGGTTATTTCTTTGTTTTATCCCAATACTCGTTTAAATTGGGTCTGTAACTACTTTGTTGAATAATCTCATACGAATAGTTTATATACAAAGGATTGTGTTGGAAGAAAGAGGAAGACGACTGAGGCACATTCTTTTTATTTTTTTCCCAAAGGAAACAGTGTTTTGGGTCTCTGGTAATTTGCCTGATGATGGACGCTCTGTTGAGAGTTCTACTGGTCGTGAACCCGTTCGTGGGTCTTGCTTGGTTGTCCAGTGAAACTCGTAAATGTTGGGCCTACGGATATATGGGCCTAGACCAGACAAATGTGGCAATAGATGCTAGAATTCAGGGTTTTTGCTAAGAATTGTCAGCAGCACAATTATTTCTGTTATGAAAACCAAGTAAGAAAATAGTATAGAAGTATAGAGAAGAGAGAATGAAGATAAGTATATTCTCAAGCAACTCATTACTAACTTTACATATCAAAAACTGTTCATCCATGTTAAATGGCATGGATAATTATAAAATATAAAAATTATGAACGAGTAGGGAGATGGATTACTAAAGTACTAGTAGGATAGTGATAGGATAGTAGAAGTTATTTGAGGGGATATGGACATTCATATAATTTGTTCCATTTTTTTTTTGCCAAAATATAATTTGTTCCGTTTAGTAAAACACTTGTCACCAGACAAATTAAAAAAAAAATAAATAGTTTATATTATTATAAAATTAATTATAATTTCCATCCATTTGTCGAATTGTCGTCCCTTGTCTGCAACTCTTTCTAGGGGCATCCGTCTGGTGGGGTTAAAAAAAAAAAAAAAAAACCGGAAACCCTATGACCTGAGATTACTTAGATCAGGTTCCGGGTCTTGTCCTTGTGACGTGAGTAGTCATTTTTGTAAAATCCGAAAATCCTCTTTGTCGAAGTTGCTGGTCCGAGTCGATTCTGGTGGAGTGAAGCATTCGCAAGTAGAAAAAGATGTCGACGGTATACGTGTTAGAACCGCCGACGAAAGGGAAGGTGGTGCTGAACACAACCCATGGTCCGCTCGACATTGAGCTATGGCCCAAGGAAGCACCCAAGGCTGTCAGGAACTTCGTGCAGCTCTGCCTTGAAGGTTATTACGTTAACACCATCTTTCATCGTATCATCAAGGACTTCCTTATACAAGGTGGCGATCCCACTGGCAGCGGCACAGGTTCTTTCCTTTCTCAATCAAACCGACTATAACTACTTATGAATCTTTACCCGGTTGTTGATGACCGTGCATCTACACTGTTGCCCGAATTTTTTTTTTTGGTTGGTTCTCAAATATCGTCTTCAAAATGAGGATTGGCTAGCTCGGGATTTCGGTTGAAAATATAATGGAAGTATAGCTGAAAATTTGCAAAATTCCCTCTGTTTTTCATCCCCGCACAATGACAACTCAAATATAGTGACATAAGGCATTCAGTCATTCACCGAATGGTCAGCTCATTTAACGGTTTGTGGTTGGAATTCGAAACCACACTCACCCCTAAAAAAATGATGTCCGCTTCTAAACGATGGTTGGTGAAATTGGCCTTAGCTTTAAGGTTGCGTTTGGTAGGAAGCATTGAAAATGAGGGATTGGGATTGAGATTACAAGTGAAAAAATCTATCAAGAGAGTGTTTAGTATAGAAGATTGTTTGATATATGAGATTAGCCAAAGCCATGTATGTGGGATTGGAGAATACCATGGGGGGAAGTGGTATTCCCCAATCCCACCTTTATGGGTTTACCTAGTCCCCTATAACAAATAATTACTCATGCTAAGTATTATTTTAATGATTTTTTTCAATTACAATTTCAATCCCAATCCTTCATTTTCAATGCTTCCTACCAAACGGGACCTAAGTTCACGGTTTTCTGATTACCGGTTACTTTGTAACTTATCCAAAATATTGCAGGGGGTGAGAGTATTTATGGGGGTGTCTTCTCTGATGAATTTCATTCACGTCTAAGATTTAAACATAGAGGATTGGTTGCGATGGCAAGTGCGGGGTCACCACACTCCAATGGGAGTCAGTTTTTCATAACTCTGGATCGTTGCGATTGGCTTGATCGGAAGCATACAATTTTTGGAAAGGTAATTGATGGAATATTGTTGCAAAACCTTTTTTACTACTCGTGTTAATTTTGTGGATCCGCTGAATTCAGCACTTTTATTTAGGTGACGGGAGATACATTATACAATCTTTTGAGATTGGGCGAACTTGAAACTGATAAGAATGATCGCCCTCTGGATCCCCCGAAAATATTATCAGTTGAGGTAGGTTGAGATTTATATTGATCTTCAAGCGAGAATCATAAAACTTACGTCCAGGAATAAGCTAACAACCAAGTTTCTGCTTGAAACGCTTCATTATAGGTATTATGGAACCCATTCGATGATATTGTTCCAAGAACAATTCAGCCTCAGATCCAAGCTAGTACTGATATGGAAAGTAAAGATTCAAAGAAAAAAGCTGTAAAGTAATTTTTTTGCCTAAAAAATTGTATCTTGTGAGAACTTAAAATGATGATTTATGTTAGTGAATTTCCCTCAGTATTTTATTGCTTTTTTTATAATGTAGAAAACTGAACTTACTTTCATTTGGAGAAGAAGCTGAAGAAGAGGAAAAGGAGCTGGCATCTGTAAAACAAAAGATTAAGAGCAGTCATGATGTATTGAATGATCCTCGTCTTCTGAAGGAACCAATTCCTAATAATGAACTGGTAACAAGGCCATTCCCATCATCCTGGTTCTTTAAGAGAGCTCTTTCTTGGAACAATACATGTATTGATCGAGTAATTCTTGGAAGCAGTAGTCATTTTCATACTGTCCCAAACAATCACAGTTTACTGATAATCTATGGCTGTAAATGATACATCATATGCCCACTTATAAGTTATCTTGCATTATATGACATCGATGCTTTTTTTCAGGGCTCATCAGGTGGCAAGTCGATGAGAGATTTGCAGTTATCTGTAAGGGATGCATTGAGCTCAAAGAAAGAAGAGTCTCAGAAAAAATCAGAAGCCAACCTTGATGACATTGATGATGATGATGATGATGATGATGAGGCGGACTTTGATGCCAGAATGCGGAGTCAAATACTTAAAAAGCGCCAAGAGTTAGGGGATTTACCACCCAAGCCAAAGTTGCAAAATGGTATTTCAATCATCTTCCTTGTAGTTCAGCTGGTAAAATTTTCATACTCTGATTTAAGGGGCAATTCTGGTTCTGCCCATGGAAGCTTTAACTTTGTTCATATTATTGACATGATGCTCTTGGAGTAGTCCTCTGACTAGCTAGTGACCTTTTAAATTCTCTAGGAGATTCTGCCAAATAAAAAGGAAAATTAAGGGTATCATAAACTCTCGAGATTCTTGGGTGGATGACTGGTCAAGGTCAGGATATACCTAAATCCTCCAGTGCTGCCATAAGATGTGTGTATTTGTCAACACTGTGGCCTTGAATTTGTCCAAAACTGAACTTCTGATTACTTGAACAGCTTGATGAAATCTGTTCCTTATTCAGAATGATTGTTTAATTGTTAAGGCTCACCGCCTTATTGTGTTATCAAGCAGGAAGCTCAAGTCCAAAGAACCCCAATTCATCAGCGATCAGGTAAGGATGTTGATCATCATCGGCATTCATGACTTGTTTTGGGACTTTTGTGATTATCTAAATGTTTTATCATCAGCTTTCAAACTAAAGCATATGACCTAATTATGATCCACACTTGACAGGTTCAATGCTGTAAATGTTGATGATGATCAACCTAGGGTGGAAAAATTGTCCATGAAGAAAAAGGGAATAGGATCTGAAGCAAGAGCTGAACGAATGGCAAATGCAGATGTAGATTTGCAGCTGTTCAATGAATCTGAGAAAAATAGACAGTTGCGGAAGCAGAAGAAACGCAGAGTTCAAGGACGTGAAGATGAGGTATGCTATGACTTTGATTTCTACTATTTATCTTCCTTTTCCTTATTATCTGTGTTCCATCTTCTGGCTTGTGTGCTAAACACTCATATTTATATGCTGCCAAGAAATATAGTGGATCGGAATTGATTGACCAATGCAGATTGAAACATAGTGCGACTCTGAGAATAATTGGCTGGAATTTTAGATGCACACTATTTACCAATTAGGTTGAGAGTTAGATGTCAGGTCACTTCCTCGCAACTTTGGCCACTTTCTGGGAGAAGGCATATTGCTTACAGCTTGTGTCACTGTATATTTTTCTGTTTGTTTGCATTTTTCGTCTTTTTTTCTTCTTTTTTTTTCCTTTTTTTTCTGTATTTTTGGGCGGGGGTGTTGGGGTGTCGAAATAATGTTCGGAAGGGAACAAGTATTGTGTGGTGAAAAAGTTGTTGTGAGGCAAAGCTTAAGACTTTCAGATTGTACTATCCAGCTTCTCTTGCAATCATCTGTGAGATTCTTTCGATCACTCTTTGTTGATAATGGCCTTATTTTGTCCCTCTCTTCTTTTGGGTTGGATTATCACCAGGTTCTAGCAAAACTAGAGAAATTTAAGACGGCTCTATCGGAAAAGACCACACCCTCAGCCTCAACCGATGGTCCAGTAGTTGTAAATGAAGAGGATGTGTCGGACTGGAAAGGAGGTGGCTTAAAATTTGCGCCTGAGTCTGGCAAGGTGAGTATTTGGCAGGCATTTTTTTTTCAGTCTGTTCAAATAGACTGGTTTTATCCCAGTACATATAAATTCAGCATATTTTCCGTCCTGCACTTCACATGTCTTTCCAGCCACCATATTAAAATAGAATGAAAAGGCTATGTTATCACTTTGTGCCATGCAGCGGATCGTTGGCATTGAGAGAAAAGATAAAACATCTTTTTCCTGGGTCAAAAAAATAGCTGAAGTGCACAAGTTAGAAAACTAAAATTATTTCCTGGCTGGAATTCGCGTATGGCATTGACCTTTTTCTAGTGCCTTGAGTTTTGGGTGTAATTTGTATATGAATGTGCAGGATCGGATGTCACGCAACGATGACCCCAACGACTATGTTGTGGTTGACCCCCTTTTGGAGAAGGGTAAAGAGAAGTTCAATAGGATGCAAGCTAAACAAAAGAAGCGAGAGCGAGAGTGGGCTGGA